TCAAGCTAGTCTTTACTCACAGTCAAGCTAACGGCTACTTAGTCAAGCTAGTCTTTACTCACAGTCAAGCTAACGGCTACTTAGTCAAGCTAGTCTTTACTCACAGTCAAGCTAACAGCTACTAAAAATCTAGCGTTTCTAGCTTCAGCCAAAATAGCTGTTAGCTTCAGCCAAAATAGGTCTCCTTATGAGAATTTGTCCATTTCTCTAAATTAAGATTCATGTTGCAGGTAAGATACTGACTGCTAATAAGGACAACACAGTTACACTTCAAGCAAAAAACAAAATAATTAATGAAAAACAAAATGTAGAATCTATAATTTTCTTACACTTTGATCATTAGTCCTAAACTAAAGACTATTTATTAGCAACATGCAACAACAAAAAAAAAAAACAAAGCACGTGGGAAGAGTTCTTCCCAGTGGTACCTCGATGGCAGTTCTTTGCAGAACAGGTTTGATTCCCTGAGGAACCATGAAGACGTTGGGCTCTCTCTGAGGCGGTGGGTAAGGAAGGTCCGACTCCTCCGGCTGCCAAAAGGAACGCAGGTCAGAGACGGTTAATTACGACGTTGAGTCTCAACGTATTAAAGACAGAACAAGCCACGTTGTTTTTGTTGGAATACCAAGAAGAAACGCTAATCGACAAGCTTTAGCAGCATTTCAAACATGTTGGTGACAGACCACATATTTAAGATTTGACTTTAAAATAAGCACCACGGAGAGGCTTTTTGTAGACATGAAACAGAATGACCATACGTCATGCAAACTGTACCCATTGCTGCTGCTGCAGGTTTTCAGAGAGGAATCCTGGAAACATCAACTGAGGAAGCAACAGAAACAAACATGAATTATCAGACCTAAACTCTGACATTTTAAATCCTGACTGTGTGGTTTTACCTCGTCTAGTACGTGGGTTGAACTGACCAAGTCTCCCTGTAGGTGAAACAAGTTGGAATTAATTATTAAAATATCCAAAAACAAAACTGGAAATATGTTAACATAGAAAATTTTCAACAAGGACAATATTCTTGACATAAGCTGACCTCTAGTCCAGGAAGATGGTGAACAGACGGCTGTGGAGACAAAATTAGATCAGATACTAGCATCAAATGACTCTAAAGTTGAGATTTATAAAGGTCATTTCCTTTCTGTTTCATCATTTTTACACATTAGATGAATAATGTGTGAAACAAATCAAGAAGCTAACAGCTACACACATTCAAGCTAATGTCTACTAACAGTCAAGCTAACGGCTACTCTGAGTCAAGCTAATGGCTACTCAGAGTCAAGCTAAAGGCTATGCACAGTCAAGCTAACAGCTATGCACAGTCAAGCTAATATCCACTCATGGACAAGCTAATGGCTACTCTGAGTCAAGCTAAAGGCTATGCACAGTCAAGATAACGTCTACTCGGAGTCAAGCTAAAGGCTATGCATAGTCAAGCTAACGGCTACTCTGAGTCAAGCTAAAGGCTATGCACAGTCAAGCTAACGTCTACTCGGAGTCAAGCTAAAGGCTATGCACAGTCAAGCTAACATCCACTCACGGACAAGCTAATGGCTACTCTGAGTCAAGCTAAAGGCTATGCACAGTCAAGCTAACGTCTACTCGGAGTCAAGCTAAAGGCTATGCACAGTCAAGCTAACATCCACTCAGAGTCAAGCTAATGGCTAAGCACTGTCAAGCTAACAGCTATGCACAGTCAAGCTAACAGCTATGCACAGTCAAGCTAACAGCTATGCACAGTCAAGCTAACATCCACTCACGGACAAGCTAATGGCTACTCTGAGTCAAGCTAAAGACTATGCACAGTCAAGCTAAAGGCTATGCACAGTCAAGCTAAAGGCTATGCACAGTCAAGCTAACGTCTACTCG